GATTAGATATGTTTTTCTGGCTCTAGAAAGTAGAAGTAGGTGTAAGCTATAAAGAGGCAGATATAGGGCTTGATTCAAGGAAAAAAACTCCCAACAATTAGAACTATCCAAAAAAAAAATGGAATGGACCACATGAAGAAGTTATCTGTGGTTTTAGCCTTCAAGCAATGCTGGATGATCATTAATACATATGTTGTAGAAGGGATTCTTGCGGTAGAGGGGAAGAGCAGATTGTGTGCTGGATTTGGAAGCAGAGGATTTAGTTTTAAATCTCTGTTTTGAGACATACTAGTTGTGTGACCTTGGTCAAGGCACATAACCTTGCTGGGCTTCAGTTTCCTCATTTGTAAAATGAGGAGTATGAACTGGTTCTAAATCTACGATCCTATATTCAGCTATAGGCAGGACTAAATAAATGTTATGTCCCTTCCATCCTCGATTCTAAGAATAAAATCTTTATTTCTGCATTATATTCATCATGGCAAGAGCTGTAATATTAGTAGTTCTGTTAACCTACAGGCTCCCTTCGAGTAGGAATTATGTCTTATGCCATCTTTGTATTACCTCACATTACCAATATGGAACCTTGCATAAAACAATGCTTAATAAGTGTTTATTGAATGGAGTTCATCAAAACCTTATTTTCTAAACTAGCCATGTATTATAAAAATTCTAGCATTTATGTTAAGTTGTGGATTTGCTCACTATTTCCTTTAGCTAAAAAAAGCAAGAACGGTAGTATGTATGCTCATTATGAAAGAAATATTGTTTTAGAAAACATAGAAAAACATACTTGAGTATTTTGGAAAGCACAAGAAAAATTAAAATATCAGTTACAAGAGTAAATCTTCATAATATATATCATTGTATAAAAGCAAAACTCTTTCATCATTAAAATAACATAAGTTTGAAGGAATATACTAATTTACCATATATCATTTAAAACTCAATTGAACTAAAAATGACCACATTCTATCCATTAATTTTTTCTATGTTTGAAATATAAGGGTGTGATAAAGTGACAATTATAATTTTTTATTACATAATCTCAGGATCCTTGCTGTGGCAGTCACTTTGAAATGTCAAGTATCAAACTGACCCTTAACTCCCATACTCTCAGCAAATAACCTCACTTCCTACTTTACTGAGAGGATCAAGGACAACCAGTGTGAGTACCCTCCATTCCCTTCTCTTCATTCAAAACTTCTGTGTCTTTAATTCAAACATTAAGTTTCTCTTTTGTGCAGAACACTGTGCTAGGTGCTGGAGGAGATACAAAATTTAGATAAGATAGTCCCTTGCCCTCAGGGAGCTTATGGTTTAGAGGGGATATAACACATATGGCAAGCAATTAAAGTATAAAATTCATAAGTACATGACAATTTAAGCAAAGTCCTACAAGTGATTCAAGGAAGTAAAGATAATTATTGAAGTGGAGGGAGGGTACAATCATGGAAAGTTTCCTAGAGGTGAAATTTGAGTTTGCCTTTAAAAGAAGGGTAGGAATTCAACAGGCACTTCACACACAGAAAACATGTTGAACAAAGAGAGATAGGAAAATATAAAAAATGTATGAGGGATGGCAAGTTCTCCAAACTGATGGAAATACAGACTATTTAAAGGGAAACAGAATGAAAGGCTAGAAGTGTAGGAACTACTGAAACGATTCACAACAATTGAGATATAATGAAATCTACGCACAAAGAAGGTAAATTTGGAGTTCATCCATTATCTTTCTTTGCTCCTGTTATTTTAGGTAGAGGTGGTTCTTCCGGATAACAATTATTCTTCTATACTGTGATTCTTAATCACATTAAGCACTCCATTTTTCTTTTACATTTCAATATCTACCTCTCCAATGGCTCTCTAACTTAGGTCTTCACATCTTTTTAAGAAAAAAAAGTATCTTCTAGAGCCACTATACAAATCTTTATTGCCACTTTCACTACATCTCTGCAGTGAACATTTTGAATAAATGGTCTTAGGCTGTCCTTTCTTAGCTTTCTTTCACTCCTCTAAACTTTTTGACATGGCTTCTATCCCCACCAAACTACTAAAAGTAGGTTTCCTCAAAGGTCACCAATAATTTTCTAAATTTTGAATCCAATAGCCTTTTCTCAGCCTTCATTCTCTTTGACTTCTTGGCAACACTGAAACATTATTTATATTCTTTTCTCTCTAGGCCTTCTATCCTAGCTCTGGCCTTTATTTACTTCTCACAAGTGGTCTTACCTGTTCTCTCTAAAAACACAGGAATGAGAGAATTGTAATATTCCTAATGTGTTCTGAACACAGAATTCACTTCAGAGCTGGAAGGGATCTCAGCGGCCATTTATTCCAATCCATACATAGAAAAGAATTTCTACCTAAGGAATGGTGACCTAGTTTTTCCGAGAGATCTTCAATGAGAGGAACCCACTCTTTCTAAAACATCTCACTCTACTTCTGGATAGTTCTAGTTGTTGGGCAGTATTCACTTCTTAACAGTTTTTGAAATTAAGCTCAATAAAGATAGAGATTGTCTCGTTCTTGTCTTTGTATGACATAGGTTGAACCAAAGTTTGCTGATTAATTTCATTAAATCAAACCTAATTTTTTTCTCTTTATAATTTCTACTCTTTACTCCAATTTCTAACCTTTAAGGCCAACAGAACAAGTCTAATTCCTCTTTCACATGATACCCTCTCAAATACTTGGAAGAAAGATATCTCTCACCACCACTCCTCAAATCACATCCCTACTCCCTATGCCTTCCCTAAGGTAAACATCACTAGTTCATAGGGCAAGGATTTGATGAGATTCTCCACCCATCTGGTTGCCTTCTTCTGGATATTTTCCACTGTATCAATATCCATTCCACACTATCTTGCACAGAATTTTACACAGTATTACAGGTGTGCAGTTTGACCAGAGCAGCATACAGAGGGACTATCACCTTCTTATTCCTGGGAGTATACCTCTTTTAATATATTAGCTTTAATATATTAGTTATTTTTTGGCTACAATAGCACACTGTTGACTTATACTGAGCTTAAGTACAATAAACCCAGAAAATTTTTTTCAAAATAATGACAATCTAACCATATTGTCTTCATGCTGTACCTGTGAAGCCAATTTTACATTAATCTCTGTTAAATTTCTTCTTTTTCCTCTTATTATATTTATTCTAAGCTTCTAGCCTGTCAAGATCTTTTTCGGATCTTGCCTTTGTCACCTAATGTGCTAGCTATCCTTCCCAGTTTTGAAGCTTTTGTGAGAGACATCATGGTATAATGGAAAGAGCAATGGTTTTGGAGTCAGAGAACTTGTGGTAAAATACTGCTTGTCACTTATGACTTGCATCACCTTATGCAAGTCATTTTACCTCTAGCGGCCTCAGTTTCCTAATTGTAAAATGAAGTTGGACTGGATGGCCTTTAAGATTCCTTTTAGATCTAAACCTATGACCTTATGATCTAAAATTGCTAAGAATACTATCTATGCCTTTGTCCAAGTCAATGATAAATATATAAATCAGCACAGGTATAACCACAGTACATTGGGGTTCCGTAGTACTATAGATGTCCTTCCAAGAAGACATAGAACCATTAATGATTAATCTCTAAGTCTGGCTATTCAACCAGTTCTAAAATCATATAATTTTCTATAGGCTAAATTTCTACACCTTTTCCCCAAGAAAAGAAAAAGAGATTTTATCAAATGTACTGCTAAAACCTATGGAAACTATATCTATAGCATTTTCCTAATATATCAGTTTTAGTACCCTATCATAAAAGGAATTAAAGTTAGTCTTATCTGTCCTGTTCTTACTAAAGCCATGCCAGTGATTACTGCTGCCTTTGCTAAATGTTTACTATGTTTATTTAAATTATTAGCTGTATGACTAGGGGCAAGTCACATAATCTCTCTGAGCCTCAGTTTCACTCTATCAGATAGGCATTATAAGATCACCTACTGCACAGGACTGTTATGAGGATTAAATTAGATAAATTATGTAAAACACTTGGCAAACCTGAAAGTATTATACAAATGTGAGTTTTGATGATGATGATGATGATGATGATCTGTCTTTTACCTACCTTTCCAGTCTTATTTCATACTATTTCCCCTTATATATGTTGTGCTCCAGGCAAACTGGACTATTCACTGAGAGGTCTCCTAAGCATGACTATTTTGTGTGACTTTAGATGTGAAAAACCATTCTTACACATCAAATGTCCTTTCTTTATCTCTATCTATATATAACTAACAATTCAATGCTAAAACTCAACTTCCATCCTACTATGAAAGCAGTATACTGAATGGTACTGGGGACTTGGAGTCAAGGAGATCTGGGTTCAAATGCCACTGTAGACATTTATCAGTTATGTATTGATTAAGAGGAAATATGTTAACATTTCTGAGTCTCAGCTTACTCTCTGTACAATGGTGGTGCAAATACTTGAATTAACTATCTCACAAAGTTACTGTGAAGGAGATTTCCCTCCTACTTATATCTCTCTTTCATGGGATCTCATAAGCAGTCCAAATTTATTATCTAGTATGTGCACAGCAATGTCACATAAATGTTCTTTATCTATTTAGTTTCTATGAAATATATTCCATTTATTTCTGTATCTGCTTTATCATCCTTAATAGGCTGAAGGGGAGTTATTTTTTCTTTGCATTTCTTTCAAATGCCCTCAGTTCCTAATAGTACAATGCACAGAGCAGATGTTGAGTAAATGCTGAATGAATGAAGGAATGAATACCACTCTCATTAACAATAATTACACTGAATGTAGCTTTATAGTTTAAAGAAATTGTCACTATGTGTTGAACTGGGAAAAACTATCAGTTAACACAAGAAATAATGTTACCTATGCACTGGCATTAAAATCCTCTCTTATATTTTGAAGTTTAAGAATATTTTTCCTTAAAAAGAAAAGTTTTTTTCCATGTATAACAAGTATCAGTCAAAGAACATGTAAAGTGCTACATAAAGGTAGCCCTGAACTTACTGAGCAACAGGAGGCAATTCTTCTGGTTGAGAAGGCGCTTTGTCACATCCCCAGATGTCAGTGAAATATATGGACAGTTCATTTCCCCAAGTAGCCCACTCACCTCAAGCTGGAACTCATCAGCTTCATTTGGGCCTTTAAAAAACAACAAAACAATACTTTTAATAATAGCTTTATGTCTAAAATAAAGATCATACAAATTTATTCTAATTGGGTTCCCTGACTCCAGCTTCCCATTCCTATACCACAACTCCATGCATTCTTAAATATCATTTTCACCATGTTACTCTCCAGCTCAAAAATGTTTAATGGCTCCCTATTTTCTATCATGTTAGATCTTCTTGGCCTTTTTATAATTTATTCTTCCATAGGCCTAGCCAAGCTTACTTTTTTCCACTCTGAAACATACCACCTTTGCTCTAATTACACCAGTTATCATGCCTTCTCTCATGTTGTCCCTCTTTCAAGGAAGTCACCTTTCTTCTCATTTCTGTCTATTCAAATTCTTTAAGATTAGCTCAGTGAAGCACTCTTTGCCCACTCCAACCCTCATTGTTCTTCTATCTTCTGAATAATGATGGCATGTATAGTGTACAGCACACAATTTGGCAATCAATTATATTCCTATTTGAGTTTAGCAGAGAACCATTTTCCTCACTGTGACTTGTATAAGCACTATGTATAATAAATATTTGGGATGAAATATCACCTTGCACTGCTTTCTAATTACTTCATGTGATCTGCTCTGTCCAAATATACCATAAACTCTGAAGTCAGAGGTCATGTTTTAAACTTTTGTATATTCAGAATCAAACAGCTGAATATAAGTGAGGTACATAACAATTACTTGCCAACTGAGCTAAATTAAAACTTATGTGCTCCTTGGTTTCAGGCTCTTCTCTCATTTGCAAAGAAGAAAATGTAGGTGCTAAAACTACACTAACACTACATTACAGCACCTTTCAATTCTATGGACTTGGTTATAATGTAGCTCAAATCACATTCACTTTGTACATAGTAATACACATTATTGTAATGAAAGCTTTTAAAGAGGATACTTCAACAAAATCTCTAATACTTCAACAAAAGTATTAAATGAAATTGTACTAGTTTACTTTAACTTCTATACAAGTCTCTAGATACTGTCAGCTCAGCTAACAAAGGAAGTTTAACTCTATGCACTAAATCACACTCTCACAAGGCTATAACCACAGTAAAGAGTGACTATTGGACAGTAATGAACTCATATAATTTTTAAAGTTATATAAATCTCTAGAAGCTTTCATCTAACTTTCTGAAGTATATCTAACTTCCGAATTGTCTTTTCTGTAACTATATTTGTTTTACAATTGTTTATTACTTCCAACTAGAAAGCAAGGAAACTGACAATTTCCTTGCATATGAAAGACCAGGGAAATAACAAACCAACTCTATTATAAAATGTCTGTTTTTAGTGATTGGCTTTGCCTATGGGTACTAACATTTGCAAAGAAAAATGTGGTTTAACAACTCCAAATTTCATTCCATATCAGGCAACTACAAATAGATGTTAACTTTTAAAAAACAGGCCTGCTACTTACTGTTGGTTGCTTGCACATTTTCTTCTAGTTTACAGAACAGTCTTAACTCAGATACCAGCCAAGCACAGAGTTTGGTGAATTCAGGGGAACTGGCTCCACCAGCGACTGCCTGAGACAAAGCTCCATCTTCTAACAAAGGACCTTTGTAACTGGTGAGTAAAAGAAATTATACTTCTTAAGATAAATAAAATAACTTTTAATAAATCATAGATAATACATTTACTCACAAGTATAACAAATTTAACTGCAAAAACCATAAACAAACAAGTACTTTTAATATAAGATACAAAACATGTGACTATATCGAAGTTTTGGGAAATTACACTACTTGTAGGGGGTAGTATATGGAGTCATCAAGCTGGATGGGTTGGGAAAGAGGGTAAGAAAGATGTTGATTACTGTGGCAACCTAGTCCTCCAACTAACTTCATTCTGTGCCCTCTTCTCCGTAATTGTTCCTCCTGTCTGTAAGCATCTATTACCAGTGTGTGCTACCAGGCTGGGAAGAGGAATGGAGGAAGAAGCCCGGTTCTTGCTTAATCAAAAGGAGGCTACACTTTACTCATTCTTTATATGACAGGTTTTGGGGGGCCCATAAAACATGGCTGAAAGCTATTCATTTCAATCTAACAAACAATCTATTAAACACTTTCTACATGGTCTTATATATAGGTTTATGTCTGGTTCAAGGGGTAAAGAGATGAAAAGAAATACAGAATAGCTCCTAAGGAGCTCAAGATCCACTGGATTTGGGGGAAACGGGGAGGCAAAGGGAGAAAACAAGGGAGAGCTATGCATGCAAATAACTGTTAAGTAAGAAACTGATCAATAAGAGGTTAGACCGTGATATTAAAGTTGAGAGGGAAAGGCAGAAATAAAGGAAGATTTCATGGAGGTTACATCAGAGCTTGGCCCTGAAGGAAGGACAGGAGAGGATCTGGCTTCAAATACTTGCTCTGTTGATTATTACCTATATGACTTTGGGAAAGTCACTTCATCTCTCTGAGCTTTAGTTTCTTTAACTAGAAAATGAATTGGGACTAGATGGACTTTGAGGTCCCTTGTAGCTAAACATCTATGATTCTATGGCACAATTTTGGTGACTTTGTTTAAAAGTTTAAGCAAAATACATAAAAAAATACTAAAGTATGTGATTTTTTTCACAGGATCAACCTATTTTTGTAATCTACTAGGATACTATTACATAGTGCTGTTAAAATGTTTACCTTATTTATTGAAACTTGAATAATAGGCAAGTTAATAAAATTATAGTTACTTCAGAAGTAAAACCAAGATTATCTTTCTATTAACTATGGAAACTGAGAAGGCTGTAAACATAGTTTTTAATAAAAGGGGCTGTTTTGGATTACAAACATGCAGTTAACAGAATGCACGAGGAAAATAAAGCCATTAGACAGGTCACTGCCTTTTTGAATCTATAATGTCAAAAATTCAGTCTTAGAGGTGATTCTACCCCCAAGACTAAGCAGCCTTACTTCAAAGTCTTCCACTTATAAACAGAAAAATTTAATTTTCTCCATCACTCTTGATTCAAAGCATAGTTACTGATATCATTTTGTTAATAAAGTAGCTGGGCTTCAATCTTTCATCAGTGTTGAAGTGATGAGGCATAATTTCCCTCACAGAGAAATAAGACTTCTGCCTAACTCTTGTCCTAGTTGCATTAGTAAAATGTTTACAATGTTCTTAGTCTTGGTTCAGCATTTGTGGGGCCAGTCCTTTGCCTAGCTAAGAGCAAGAACTTTTAATTTCTAAGTCAAGTTTTTTATGGTTTTTCCTTAGTTTCTCATGTTGACAAAGAAGATAGAGGTCTAATATGGCCCTTTGGTGTTAACAGGCAATTTGGCTTAACTAACTGAATAGTTAGTCAAAGGGTGTAGTATGAACTGCTGAAGACATTTTAACTGGCTTAAAAAAAGGCATATGTAATAGAAGAAATTATGAATGTAATGAAAAAACTATAAATTATAGTAAGAATGCATTCCTAATTACATAACTGTTACCTTGACCAGGAAATTTTTGGTGGTTTGCTATTAAAAACACATTTATTTGTACTGTCTGAACAGATGTTATTTAAGATACAATATTTTTTCTAATGGTAAATGAAAATCATAACAAAATACAATAACATACAAATTCATAGGTGTAGGGCAAAAACTGGTTTTTCATCATTTCCAACTGGTAGCCTCATAATATAGAAAATCAGTCTTTGCTACTTTAGTCAGTCATTTCCAATTCGGTCCCTCAAAGAAAACACTCCTTAATATCAGATTTTTAATTTCTGGAGGGCTCACAATTCTCCATTTTAGACTTCATTCAATAAAGAAAATACAAGATACTCAAGCTTTTTTTTTGGCCTCATTTTTTTTTTATCATTACTTTTACTTCTGTAGAATACCTAGCATAGTTCTTTCAGTACTACTGCTTAGAAAAAATGAAGCAGAATGCTGGTTCTGGAATTGGAGGACCTGGGTTCATATCCTATTACTGACACTACTTGTGAAACCCTGGGCAAGTCACTTAATTTCTTTGGGTCTCATTTTTCTCATTTACAAAAAAATGAAGCATTTGAAGATGGCTTTTGAAGACCTTTCAGCTGTAGATCTCTGATTCTATGAACTAGTAATAAGGATTCTTCTTTTTCTGTGTGGGATTTCATTGTTGTAAAAAAAAAATCTAGTGTCTTAACTGCTTTTTACCAATGAAATTGAGCCGGTAGCTTGCCACCTTAAGAGTTGCCTGAAGGCACTGAAGTTCAATGATTACTTGTCGAGGTCATATTGCCAGAATATGATAGAGGCCTACTTGACCTAAGACATTCCTGAGTGAGGCCAACTCTTTATACACTACAACTAGATGCCTTGCATCAAGAAGCATTAAGTTAGGTTAAAAAAAAATCAATAACTTTCCACTTACTTTCATACTTTTAATGAACTGACAGCACAAATAATGGTACAGCTGTTGTCAAGTTTATCTTGATAGACTACTGTGATGCGTTGCATTTTGGATAAGGATTCAATTACAAGTTTAGATCCCATGGTCTTCATAAATGATTACTTTATAGGATTTAATAAAAAACTAGAAAAAATAATGAAAGTATTTTTTAAAGACCACTAAGCTTAAATAATTACATTGGCATAACACTTAGAAGACTGAAAGTTTTCCAGGGGTTTGAGAATGTCAGTATTTGTTTCCTTTAAAAGAGATGCTATTGAAACAATATCACAGGGTTAGAGCTGAGATTTCCAAATATAATGAACACAGAAAAGTTTCTAATAGTTGTCTTATATTTTGTATGGCATGACATTTAGGTTTTCTGGATCTGGAATTAAGACCACACATGAAGCAAAATACAGATATGGTCTGGGTTTAATATACTTAGAAAACCAATTAAAGTCTGTAATTTTTTTCCTCCGGTTAATCTTTCAATAGCATCCAGAAACCAGCAAGCAAAGCTCCATATTAATGCCTGAACACCCTCCCCTCCCAAGTTAATAATGAATGTAGTAAGCACCCAGGACAGGTTCAGGGAAAAAAAATGTATTTCAAAAACACACAAGTGCATTATAACTCATAGCCTGATGAACTGCAATGACCATCAATATTACAATAAGTAGTCTTATTTATAAAGGTGGCCTAACTTTGTAAAGATGAGCAGAAAAAAAAATTATTGATCAAGAAGGAAAAAAGTTGGGAAGAAACTTTCTATTGAAAATAAGTAGGAGCATCTACGTAGAATGAATATATTTAGAGAAGGGTAAAATAAGACATCTCACTAGCTAATTGGTTTGCTGTGATTTCATTAAAAAATATGTATTTTTCAGGAGTAATTTTATTTTTACATCAAAGGAAACCAAGAAAATTCAGAAAGAACACTAAAGAAATAAAGTTGATAATATTAATACTTTAAGCAAAACAAAGTAACAAGCAATATCACTATCTTTGCCAAAAATTCCCAATAGGATAGCAAGCCACTCTAAACTGATAAAATCTAACCAAGTAACTTTTTTTTTCTGATAGAAATAAGCCCCCTAAACCATATGGTGGTAAAAATCTTTATAAATAATTTGTTACTTTGTAAATGAGGTAAAGGGATATCTGTACATTATCTCTAAGTACACATTTAAACATAGTTTCTTAAACCATATTTAGTTTAGAGTGTTTCTTTATTCTCAAGTTTTAATACTGGACATAGATCTGATTGATCTAATAGGATAACCAGTATCGTTCTCAGCTTACTGTTGAATAAAGGTTCTGAAAAGCTAACAGCTATTGGCAGGAGGTGACATGGGTAGATGTAAAATAAATATGGAGAAAACTTTGGTGGTTGAATGAAGGACAACAAGTAGTCCCAATTTGTGGTAGAGAAGGAAGTCAGGGGGAAACTACCAATGTTTAAAACAGTGATATTGATTAGCTGACAACAGGAGTTGGGCTGATTACTAATGGCGATTGAGGAGTGCACTTGCCGAAACTGGGTACAGATAAAGGAAGATGATTTTGGTTTAAGGAAATTGATGGTGATAAGTCGTAGGAAAGGGGCAGGAAGGTTGGGGAATAGGAATAGATGAATAGGCTTAACAGGTTAGTGACTAGGCAAAACGTGAACTGAGTGAATAAGGATGGCTATTCCAGTGAACACACCCAGGAGAAAGTGAAAGGAGGACTGGGGCTCTAGGATTCAACCAACACTGAATGGATGGCAGAAGTGGGTGCGATCAGGGGTGGTGGTTGGGGAGGAACAGTAGGCCCACGCGGAGACAACGACAAGGATGACTGATACATTCCCGGGGTCCAAGTCTGAAGTCCTAGTGACGTGACGGGACCCCAGAGGGTATAAGGAGGTTGATACGAATGGGGAGAATTGAGACAGATGAGTTTCCCCCTGGGTAGTGGGGTAGGAAAGCATGATCAGAGCTAGGGGTGGGATAGGGGGAGCTGGCGGGTAGAGGGTGGGGGGAGGGAGGAGGCAGCATCGAGGAGCCACGGGGCGCGGCACCGGGAGAGAAGAGGTGGCCCAGCCGAGGTGAAGGGCCGGGATAACGGAGACTGCGAGGTTCAGGGGCTAAGCGACCGGGACTCTTACCCCAGATCCTCCAACGACTCCAAGATGTCAGTCTCCATGAGGTCACACTCCATGCTACTGTGGTATTCAAATTTCCTAGTCGTCAGGCTCCCCTCTTCCCCGGCACAATGCAGATTTGCGCATGCGTCACCTCCCCGAACTTCCAAATCGACAGATTTTTGCCTCGGGTCTGGCACTGCGCATATCCGAGCGTGCGCGCTAATCTCAGTCCTTTCCTTGACCACTCCTCCACCCAGCGTGGAACATCCTCGCCCTGCAGATAAGCACATGCGTACTATTAGAGAAAGAAGCCTGCTGCCAGAAGACGGGCAAGTGAAGCATGGTTGCGTGGCGGCTGGGCTGGGAGACTCGGCGCGCCGGGTGGCCTACTGCTCACATGCTCCCCACCCCCACCCGCCCTCTCCAGTTGTGCATGCGCAGGTTGTGGGGGCGGGGTAAGGAGTTGTTGCCTCTGTCTGAGAAGGCTGGGAGGGACTCTGCCTGCAGATCTGTGGTGCTGAAACATCTGGGGTCTGGGGATTGCCAAAATGGAACTCATGAAGGGGACTACGAGCCAGAGATGCTAATAGGATAAGCGGCACAAGATCCTCCAAGTACTCGCAGAATTGCTGTGTCTCTAGTACTTGAGCATAGACGGTGTAGCTTTAAAGATGCACAGTCAGGTCTCAGGTAGCCAACACGTTAGATTAGGCGTAGGAAAATGTTGCGTAATTGCAGAATCCTAGCCAGAAAGAAAAGCTGTCATGTCCATACCCAGAGAAGCAGTTTGGGAGTTAGTACTGAGTTACTTTACTGGCCACGCTTTTTGTTATTTTGTGTCAAAAAAAAGGCAAGAATCAGAATTATAGAATGAAAGGACGCCAGGATGCCATCTTGTCCAAATTTTATCTGGACATCTCCTCCACATGTAGTACCCTTACTCCCACCACATCCCTACTCTTCCAGCAGATTGCCTCCACTATCATCATTTCTCTAATCTATTAGTTCCCTTTCTGCTAGCTACTTTCAAGTTGCCTACAAACATGTCACGAGTCTTTCTCCCCATCACCCCTTCTCAGAAGCTCATGATCATAAGTCTATAGATTTCCAGCTGGAAGGGACCTTAAAGATCGTCTAGTTGACTCCTTCACATAACAAATGAGGTGACTGAGTTAAGTGACTTACCAGAGGCCACGAGGATGTGACCCTAGGTTCTCTAACTCCCAAGTCCTGTGCTTTAAGACTGAAGCTATTGTCAAATTGTTTCCTCCCTTTCTCAGCTGTCTATTTTCTTTGGGTCCACTTCTTCCCCTCAATCAGTTTATTTATTAAGTGTCTATTATGTGCCAGACACTATAATAAGCCCAGGGATACAAAGAAAGGCAAAAGCCAGTCCCTGCTCTCAACGATCTCAATCTAATGGGAGAGGGGGGAGGACACCATGTAAATAACTATTGATAAACAAGCTATATATAGGATAAATTGGAAGTAATTAAGAGAGAGAAGGCACTAGAATTAAAGGTGATCAGGAAAGGATTCCTTTATCCTGTAGTCTGGCTTCCAATCAGATTTCAACTGAAACTGCTTCCCAAGTTACCAATGATTTCTTAATTGACGAATTGGATAGTTTTTTCTTACTCCTCATCCTTCTTTGTAGCATGTGACAAAGCTGACTATGCTTTTCTACTGAATATTCCCTGTCTTGGTTCTCTCCTCCTACCTGACTGACTGCTCCTTCTGAGCCTTCTTTGCTGTATCATCATTCAAATAATGGCCCAAATACAATAGGTATACCCCCAAAGTTCTGTTCTGGACCTGTTCTCTTTCTGTATTCTCTCATTTGGTTACCTCATTGGCTTTCATGAGTTTATCATTTCTATGCAGATTACTACTAGATCTATATGGCAAGCTCTAACTCACTTAACTCTAGTCCTATATTACAACTGCCTTTTGGACATCTTGAATTGTTGGTTCTAGCTCTACAATATCTCTCATATTCATCCCTTCCTCTCCACTTTTGCAATCATTATCTTAGTTCAGGCCCTCATCACTGCTTGCCTAGATTATTTATAATATTTTCTTTGTTGGTTCTGTACCTCAAGTCTCTCTCCTCTTCAGTCTATATTACATACAATGCCGTAATGATTTTTGTAAAGTACAGATCCCACAATGTGGGATCTTTTGCTCAATAAACTCCAGCTGGACCTCATCATGTCTTAGATCAAATATAAATTCTGTGTTTGACATTTACAGCCCTTCACAAACTGGCTCCAACCTCCCATTTCAGATTTAACAGTATGATCCCATTAACAAACACTTACCTCCCAAGTCTAGAAAGCACTTCCTCATCTCTGCTATTTAGAATCCCTAATTTCTTTCAAAGTTAAGCCCACTACCTTCTACAGATGCGCCTAGCTGCTAATGCCTCCTCAGGAAAAAAACAAAACAAAACAAAACAAAATACCATTATATTTATATGTACATATTTTATACACACACACACACACACGTTGTCTTCCCCAATAGAATGCAAGCTTCTTGAGAAAAGAAGAGTTTCATTTTTGTTTTTGTCTCTCCAGCTCGCAGCACATACCCATATGTGGTTAATTGATTGAAAAAGGCTATTAGAATTGTCAATTAGGAAATGATGGTTATGTTGAGAGAGAAGTTTCAGTAGAGTGATGAGAATGGAAGCTAGATTGCAAGGGGTTGGGAAGAGAAGGAGAGGAGAAGAAGAGAAAGCAAAAAAGAGTGAATAACTCCCCCTCATCCCCACCCCTGAAGTCTGGCTGTGAAAGAGAGAAGAAATGAGGAAATAGTAGAGTGAAGTGAGGATTTTTAAATTTGTTTTCAAGGGTGGAAGACACCTGTTATATTTTAGGCAGTAGATAATAAGCTAGTAAATAAGGAGAGGGGTAGCTAGGTGGCACAGTGGGTAGAGCACTGGGCTTAGAATTAGGAAGATTCATTTTCATAAGTCCAAATCAGGCCTCAGATGCTTACTAACTCTGTGACCCTGGGCAAGTCACTTAACCCAGTTTGCCTCAGTTTCCTAATCTATAGAATGAGCTGGAGAAGGAAATGGTATCAGTATCTTTGCCAAGAAAACTCCAAGTGGGGTCATGAAGAATTGGACAAGACTGAAAATGACTGAACAACAACAATAACAACAACAAAAATAAGGAGAGATGATTATAAGGCAATTTGCTAGATGAGGTGAGGTCAAGGACACAAACACAGGTGTTGTAAAATATTCACAGCAGCATTTTAGTGGTATAAAAGAATGGATATCCACTGAGGTGTGTCTAAACAAATTCAAGTATGTTAACATATATTTGAATATTAGTGTGCTGCAAGAAACAGTGAATAAGAAGAATTCAGAAAAGAGTAGGGAATACTTATATGAACTGATACAGAGTGAAGCAAGCAGAGTCTGGAAAATAGCAAGCACAAGTACAACAACAATATAAGCAGACAGAACAAAAAAAAAATTTAACATTGTATAATTATAATTACCAAGCTTGGTTCCAAAGAAGAAATGAGAAAATGTACCTCCCTCGATTCTTTGCTGAGGTGGGAGCTATGGGTCTAGAACATTGGATATACTGACTCAGTTATGTGTAGGTTAGTTTTGCTAAACTGCTTCCCCCCCCTTTTTTTTTTACAAAGATGATTCATTGGGTAGGGGAAGAATATACTGAGAGATGAAGGTGATGTAAATCAAAATAAATGTAAACCAAAATAGCAACAACAATAATAAGTCAAGGCCTTTTCGTCTTGACCAGAAAACAAGACCAGCTTTTCTTCATAAGTGACCTGAGTTAAAAGAGGTAAGAGTAGAGAATGATGTTGTCATATCTCTACCTGATATTTAACTACTTTGTGTTTATTAATTTTATATTTATGCTGTGTATATGGACATCTACATGTGTAGATGTGCATATATACATGTGTCTTCCATTTGAATGTAAATTCCTTGACTGTACTTTTTCCTTTTTTCATATTTTCATCCCCAGGGCCTAGCATAATGCCTGATATCTTAGGTATTTAATAAATATACATTGATTAAATCATTTTGATATGTAAATTAGGGCAAAGATGAATAGCCTTCTATTTTCTTAAAATATGATGCAAAGTTCTCTGATAGGATGAAAGGGAAAGAGTGGTATGAGAAGTTTCAGGAATGATGAGACTATATAAGCCTTAGGGGCAGCTAGGTGGTATAGTGAATAGAGCACTGGCCCTGGATTCAGGAGGAACTGAGTTCAAATCCTGCCTCAGACCAAACACTTGACACTTACTAGCTGTGTGACCCTGGGCAAGTCACTTAACCCCAATTGCCTAAAAGAAAAAAAAAGGAAAAAAAAGAGACTATATAAGCCTTTTGAAGACAGGGACTATTTTCTTTGTGTCTCTGGCACCTAGCACATTGACTAGCACCTATGCTTATTAATAAATGTTTATGTAACTATCTAAACTGCCATTGGGCAGAGCTTCTTTGTACTTCATTTTCCTTATCTATAAAATGAAATGGCTGAACTAGGCCATATTTTCAGGTCATTTTTCAGCCATCAAAAAATCTGATTGAAGGAACAGCCTTATCATATGATGATCTGACTCAAAGTCTGGAAGAGTGTGCAGCTCATCCATCCTTCATGGTAGCAGGCTTTTTCTAACTTTCTATTCCATTCTAGGCCTGGACAACTTTGCCTTTCAGACAAATACAAGAGACAATATCATTTGGTCTATCTCTACGAGACATCTGTTTTGAGTGTCTTTCCCTTGGGAGGTAAGAAAAATGTTGTCTTGAAGGCAGGCTTTTTTAGGTTTTCCTGGGCAGAGTAAACAAAAATTTGCCTTATTATGTGTAAATTAGAAAAGCAGCTGAATAGAAAACTTTGGTTGTCTTAGGAATTTTAGGAGTGAAAACCCTCACAAGTTTGTGAGGAAAAGTATTTCTGTATTACTTAATGTATACTGTTAAATGACTTAGATCTCAATTCATCAAGGGAAGTTACTTCCAAAATTTAAAGCAGAAATTCTTAACCTGTGTTTGGAAACTTAAAAAAAAATTTTGACAACTGTATTTCAATATGATTGGTTTTCTTTGATGTCCTTTATACATTTAAAAACAGTATTCTGAGAAAGCTTCCATAGGCTTCATTAGACTGTCTAAGTCTATTACAAAAAAAAAGTTAAGAACTCCTGATTTAGAGATAAGATCTCTTAATAGGTCAAGATATAAAAAAGAACTTTAAAGTAAGGTTTGCTGCAACAAAGACTTAATGGCTATCTAGAATACCTAAAACC